GCAGTTCGTCGATTGGGAGGACGCTTCGGGTCGGGGGAGAAAAGGCTCCGAAGAGCGGCTCACTCAGCACTGCAGCGCCCCCAATCCTCGATCGTCAAAGGGGCGCGCGGGGGTGTTCATCGCTTGTTGCCAGGACCGAGCTCCCTTAGGGTACCACTGGCTCAAGGGGGGCGAATCCGTCTCGCCGGACCTCGGAACGGTGCTTCTAACGCGGTTTCCATTCAAGACGCTAAGGGGGCTCACGATTGTGGAGGACGCCGCTTGCAACGCCCAGGAGTGGTTCTTAAACCGGGTGCCGCAGTTGGCCAAGTTCATGTTGTTTGTCGTCGACCGATTCCACTCGGGGTCCGTGAGCTGTGCACCGGCGGGGGCGAAGCGCTACGCAACGCACACGTGTGCGCCAACGCTGTTCATCGACTCCTTTCCGCAACATTGCCACACGATCACAACTGCGTCCGAGGGCATCAATTCAGGGCTGAAGAGATGTGCAGCTAGCCTCCAGCAAATCACGAGTATTAGGAGGTTGCTGAGCCGTGTGACGACCATACTCGACACGTTATTCGAACGGTCAAAGTACGCCGTCTATTGGAGTGAGTCTAGCAATGCGTTGAGGGACTCGATCAGGCGGGCGCGCGGCTGACGCGCGGCCTCGTTACTGTATTACTCATTACCCACCCTCCCAAGTTCCATTTGCGTTTTTGCATTTGTCATGTGGTGATGGAAGTTGGAAAGAGGTTCCATGGTAATAGAGTAATAGGGTAATAGAGATGTGTGTTCGAGGCTTCTTCATGGGTACAGTCATGTGTGTGTATGTGTGTGTTATAAGGTAATAAGAGGGTAATGATCTATTTGGTACTCAATTACTTCAGAGATTCGTCTTTTTTGCTTCCTCAAGACACTACATGCCATTCTCTATTCCTCCTCACCACCAACACATGACAGCTGGAGCAAGGGTAGAATCATGATGGGCGATGCTGCTGATCATTAGTATTACTCTACTACTCATTACCCACCCACTTCAAGTCTTCTGCTCTTTATATATTTGTCATGTGGTGATGGGGGGTTAGAAGAGGTTCCATATTCGAATAATCCATGGTAATAGAGTAATAGGGTAATAGAGATGTGTGCTTGAGGCTTCTTCATGGGTACAGTCATGTGTGTGTGTGTGTGTGTTACAAGGGTAATAAGAAAGTAATAGGTTGTTTGGTACTCAATCACTTGTAGAAGAACCTACTTTTGTCTTATCTCTAGTCAATACTTCACCGTCCTCACCTCTTCTCACCTCCCACACATGATGGTTCATGCAAAACGAGCACTTTTGCTCCGCGACCGATTGTCGCGACTCTTTTGAGGCATCAATCAGCTTCTCAAGAGCGTTGGGATCCGTCATCCATGGCCCTTCCTTATCTTCGATATAGTCGAGCCGTTGCCAGGTGTCCACCCACTCCATGGTAGAGCTCAGAAGCTTGCCTTTATGGAGAGCCTCGCAGATAGCGCCCTGTGTGGGGAACCACCACCCCTTGTGTGTCCGTACCCCTTGAATGGAACGTGCCGCATGCCTCATGTTGAAAATGGCATTCAGGGAGCGTATCAAGATGTTGATGTCGGTATGGCGATCCTCTTTGATGTCCAACTGAAGCAGAAACATGTCATATGTCCGCTTGATGTCCGTCGATGCTACCCACGTTTCTAAAGAAGGGTGAAAGCACCCGTTCTCGAGCAGCGCTTGCATCATATTGACGTGAGGTGGAATCGAGTGTTCCTTCAAGCCTTCCCCCCAAGCTGTAATCGGCATCTTCTGAGGATCCCAATTGGTTATGTCAATAGACGATAGATATCGATGGAAGTGATACGCGGTCTCAGGTTTCTCCAACTCGTCCATGAGCTCATCAAAGTGTTGCTTGTTTCCCATCTTGGCATCTGAAACTTGCTGGCAAGAGTATCGGCGATCGTCTGCCTCTCGTTTAACAGGCCAGAAGTTATTTGTGGTGAACACAATGTTGCTCTTGTCATCCACGCTGATAGGGTCTTGGCCTTTGCGCTCCATACACGTCTCTTCTTGGGTGATTAAGGACTTTATCCGGTCATTCATCCGAAACGCGCCTCCCCAGTTTCCGGCTTCATCAAAAACAATAAGTAGCCTATTGGCTCCTAGTGAGTTGAATTTGCCAATGACCTTTTCGATCTCGTTGCAGTAAAGGTAATACTTGCCGCCAAGGATTGTCAATCCATAAAACTTCCACAATGAAGACTTTCCACTCCCTTGCCCACCGCGGAACACGAGGGCCACTCCAATCTTCTTCCAAGGCCTCTGAACGCTGTGTGCCATCCATTTCATATTATACTCAAATCGCTCGGGAAACTGATCACACAGAATGTTACGAATGTGCCACATGAGTTTTGGCATCCGACCCTCGCACTCTACGAGCTCTGATTCTGTTAGCTTGCGGTCGAGTGGTTTGAATCTCAGCCCGCTGAATAGGTTGAAATGTCGTGAGGACACCTTTGATGGGTCCGGCTCAAACACAATCTGATCGTATTCCCGGCGTTTTGGGCTGCTTTCCCAAAACTTCGCAACCTCCTTGCTCTTTCCAGATAGACTCTGGAGTTGGAAGTTCCTGCAGATCTCCAAGAAGTCCCGGCCGGACCGGTGGATAGTCTCCTCGGGCTCAAGCTGCCCGTTTGCGTCTCTCGAGTAGATTGTCTCCAGGTAGACAGCCTTCGTCGAGCGGACGACGGCAAAATAATGGTTCATGATGCGCAAAGCGAGATCGAGCAAGTCCAATTTTGCTTTACTTGTTCGTACGTCATCTTCCTTTTTCCTCCTTTTCTCATCGTTTTCATCTGTGGACGGCTCGAAGGGAAGAATGTAGCTCTCGCAAGTCTTGAAGAGTTCTCCTTCCACTCTCAGAGGCAAACACTCGGGCCAGAAGTGAATGCCCAACAGTTGCTTTGGTCGATCGATGCACCCTGGACTCAGACAGCGGTACACAAGAATGCACCCGTTGCTCATGATGCTAAACTGGTTCGAATCGTGTTGATGACCATTTAAGCAAGTTCGAGTGCCGTTTGTTTTGAACTTTAGGATTTGCCACCCATTAGGGGTCCTTTCTCCAACACCGTTGAACGTGCTGCTGTCGTCTTGCATTTTATCATGCAGCAACCTCTTGGTCTCTCGGACCGCGCTTTCCAATCCGGGCAGGGTCTCCGTGTTTTGCACATTTCCAAGAGTTGCTTACGGCATCGATGTTGAGTTTTGACCAACAGATGGTGTGCCATTTGAGTTACTCTTGCACGTTTTGTACTTTGTGGCCTCGATCTCGTCCTTTGCAGTCTGTTGAACATGGTCGTTGAGAAATTTTGCGAGCCAAGGAGGCATGTCCTGGCATGCATCAAAGCTTGGAGGCCCGTTGAGCCATTCGTATGTCGCAAGCTTTCCGTGACCCTTGACATAGCTTGCGGGGTGAGCAAAAACGACCCCTCCACCAGCTCGACCGTCAATACCATAGACAGTGTCATCAACCTTGATGGTCTCGAAGTTACGGGTGCATTTGAGGCCGGGCGAAGTCGCCTTGAAATAAAAATGATACCCACCGGATCCTGATTGTGCTTTGAGTGTTTGAGGCTCGCCATGTTCCTTGACGAGTTGGTTCCAAAGCTGGATCCCCGGTGATTTTCCATCTTTGCTGGACACATCAATATCGACCACGAAGATCCGACTGGGACGTGTCAGAATCGCGATGCCATTGGCGTCCTTCCTCTCCTGCTTTGCTTTATTGATGGAATCTTTCCACAATTCGGGTGTTGTAATTTGGGCGTACGTATATGGAAATTCGGCATCTTTCTTACCCTCTTTTTTATTCCAGAACATGCGCACGGGGATTGCATAGAGCCCAACATTGGAGAGCCGTTCAATCTCTTCTGCAACGGCTTGGGGCCCTACGGGTCTGGGGACTTGAGCGGCCTGAGGTCTTGAGAGGCTAGCCTGGGCGTCTGTCATTTTCTTTTGACATTATGAGAAGATTTTAAAGCGGGCATTTCAAACGCGCGTGCGTCCAATCTTTCTTCGTTCAAATTTTCTTACCATGACAATAGTACTCAGTGACATGGAGTTCCACCATGAAACCGCTTCAAACGATTGTTGCACTTGCAAAGCGTGCAAAACTATAAAGCAATTTTATGAAAAGCACCCGGATGCTCGAAAAACCTACACGAAAAGGTACTACTACAAACATAGAGATGCAATCTTATTGGCCCAAGCCTTCGACCGCTACAAGAACGGGCATGCATGTCAACAAAAGACACTAAAGCGCCTTTTCAATGCTGGCTTTCCAGTGGAAGATTCCGTAAATGCATGGCAACACGATAATCATCAAATGACGTCTTCAGACACGTCACTGGCAGATGATGCCAAAGTGCCCTCGCTCCATCTGAGCGCATTCACAGGGATCCAAGTGTCATGAAAAAAGCTGCCACATGGCGAGGAGATTGTAAACCGTTCAAAACTTGATCCGCGAGCCGTCCGGGTTAAACTTCTTTTCGTACGTTCGCTGTGCCATAGCTGCCGTGTGCAACATGCTCCGCGCGAGGTCGTCGCGCTCGGCAATGCTCGGAGCATCTTTGAAGAGGTTGCTGACGCAAATCTTGCGTAAAAGACACGAACCCACTTTTGCGTCCTTAAAAAGGCCCGTGCTGCAAACCTTTGTCAGATAGTTTCGACTCATTGGCTTGTCAGGCGACTTAATATGAGACAGAAGAAACTTTCTGGGAAAGACCTGAAGGCTTTCGGTAATGACATTGTTGCATCGGGTCGACATGTCTATCGAAGTGGGTCCGTGGTGCTTGACGGTCTTATAATCGTTCAATACCAAACGAAACTGATCTTGTGCAATCTCTAAGAGATAGTTTCCGGAACCGGACATGATCTCACGTGCATCGGCCGTTTTGATGTCCTTCAAGCGCACAATGGGGCAATCGCTGTAGTCATTGCGGATTGCTGGTTGATAGCTATAAAGGCACAGTATGAGGTGGCGAAAAAGCACGAATTTGTCCTCATCGGTCAATGCTTCGGGCCTCTTGTGCAGGAGCTTGCGGTTCACGTGCCTTTGCAGCTCTACTCGGCGCTCCGTAATCTCGTCCAAAGTCTTCCAATTCGCCGCTTCCCGCTCCGTCAGCTGTTGAGGAGGAGGCTTCGCATCTTCCATGAGCTTGCGAACCTCTATGTACCGCTTGTAATAGGCATCATAGAGCTGCTTGTCTTCGGGAAATGCTTTTTGCACGAGAACCAGAAGCGGATTTATCCCAGTGGCCTGCATTGACAGCTTGATGGGGTACGTTTCTTTCAAATACGTGATAATTCCGTCGGCATCCTTGATCCAAACGAAGCTGGTAAAGTCTTGTTGTCTTTTAAACCCTTGAAACAAGTGCATAACATGCTTCATATATTGTTGAATCGTCAGGTCCTTTCGAGTACCATCATCGAATGCCGAGCGCAGCAGCCTTTCTCCCTGGGTTACGGTGGTTATGCGTCTCGTGGTTTCAGCAGACCCTTGCATCTTTCACAATTTTTGGATACTGCCAAGATTTTTTTGACCACCTCAAGGTCCCCGATTCCAGATAACATGAATGAGCACGTTCAAAATCGTTCGCACGAAATCGAGATGGGTAGCAGCTTTTAACGGTAAAAACGGTTATGAGTGCGTGTAAAAGCCGCCTAAAAAGCGAGATGGCCACTCAATTTTCAG